ACACAATGATTATAATAGGGGATCTCCCAGGATACCGTCGCATAGTCCCAAACGTATATGTGCAGGGAGATCTACCAGAATACCATTTCATAGTCCCAAAGTAAGTATACAAAACAGGGGGATATACCAAGATGCCGTCCCGTAGTCCCAAACGCAAATATTCAGGGGGATCTCCCGGAATACCATTCCGTAGTCCCAAAGTAAATATGCAGAACAGAGGGATCTACCGGGATACCGTCCCATAGTCCCAAACATAAATGTGCAGGGGATCACCCAGAATACTGTTTCGTAGTCCCAAAGTAAATATGCAGAACATGGGGATCTACCGGGATACCATCCCGTAGTCCCAAAGTAAATATGCAGCGCAACCAACAGAAATAACAGTCACAGCACGGCAGAAACCTCGTACATCACCACAACAAGTACAACAACAAAAATGACAATAAAACAAGGTATGACGAGTAAATCAACTCAAGAACGTTAAATCACAAAGAAACAATAGAACCAGTCCACAAGGGATAACCACAGTAAAGAATTCTAGGCATAAAAAGAACAGTTCAGCAGGGAAAAAGACTAACATGTAGCAACGACCCCACAACATACAAGCCCACAATAAGAAAACCAACACGAGTCAAATAGTTCCCAATAAAGGCAAGTCAACTAAGATATAGGTTATCTAAACTCCTTTCAAGGTTGAGTAATTGCGAAGGATATTAAACAATTCAAATAATGGTAAGCAGCAGAAGATAATCATCACTCCGATTAAGAATAAACAATTATAGGATGAGACAATATCAATTTCATTTAAAGATAAGCAGTTATGAAAAGATAGCATGACTATAGAAGAGGCAAAATCTTCAGTTACGTCAAATAAGAGTCAAATAGGCAGTAAGAGTGAATCCTAAAGCAATAAATTCTAATCTAAGCATGTAGATGTGAAACTAGCAAATAGGAACTCAGTCATATCCAGAACAGCTTCATACACAGTGAATATAAGGACCTAAGAACTCTAAAAGGCCAAATATCCACAAATAAGTCCGATCACGCACTCGTCACCTCGCGTACACGGATTACAATCAACATAGAAGACTCAAATCCTAAGGGGAAGTCCGCCACACAAGGTTAGGCAAGATACTTACCTCAAAGACGACAAACCCATACTCTAAAATGCACTTCTCGGGTGAAAAGACCTCTGGACGACTCAAATCTAACCAAATTAACGTCAAAGCACAAATACAACTCATAAGAAACTATCCCGGATCATAAAGTCTCAATCTTTTAACAAAATCCAAAAATCAGTCCAAAGTTGACCTCCGGGCCCGCACCTCAAAACCCGACAAATTTTACAAAAACCAAATACCCATTCCGATAAGAGTTCAACCATACAAAATTTATTAAATTCCAATACCATTTGGTCCCGCAAATCATGATTTTTCATTTTCTTCAAAAACCCACCATTTTCTCAACTCAAAACACAAATCAAATGATAAAAATGAAGATAAAATCATGAATATGTTAGATTCTAGGTGAAGAACACTTACCCAATCGATTTGCTTGAAAACCCCCAAAAGAAGCTCCCAAATCCGAAGTCCAAAACTCAAAATATGAAGAAAATGGCCAAACACTCAATTTTAAGGATTCTGCCAGGACATCCACATCTCGGGACAAGAAACCGCACCAGCGGCACAGCAGAAGCGAAAAGGAAAGGCACAAAAGCGAAATAAATCGCAGGTGCGATAGCTAGACCGCAAAAGCGGCCTTCGCACCTACGCGTCATCCTCCACAGAAGCGAGCAATCACCCAGACCTTCATAACCGAAGAAGCGGCCAGGCTCACGCAGAAGCGGAGCCGCACCTGCGCTCCAAGGTCGCAGGTGCAAAAACACCAGAAATCAGACATGTTCAAAAACCCTGCAAAACATCCGAAACTCGTCCGAAACACACCCGTGGCCCCTGGACCCTGTCTAAAAACACAAACAAGTTACATAACCTAACACGGACTCGCTCGAGGTCTCAAATCATATCAAACAACATCGAAAAAGCAAATCGCGCCATGAATCGAACTATAAACTTCCAAATCTTCCAACTTTGAAAACCCATGCCGAACCCAATTCAAACCAACCCGCAATGACGCCAAATTTTGTAGACAAGTCCCAAATGACAAGATGGAGCTGTTCCAAATTCTCGGAATCGCATTCCGGCCACGATATCACAAAAGTCAACTATGTGTCAAACTTCTCCATTTTCCAAACTTTAACTTTTCCAACTTTCGCCGAAATGCCTCAAATTACCTTACGGACCTCCAAATCCGAATAAGGACGCGCGCCTAAGTCCAAAATCACCATACCAAGCTGTTGAGATCATCCAAAACCCATTCCAGAGCTGTTTACTCAAAAGTCCAATTCCGGTCAAATTCTCACCGCTTAAGCTCCCAAAACTAGAATCCTTCTTCCAATTCGATTCCGAATCCTCCGGTAACTAATTCAACCATGCACGGAAGTCAATACACATAATATGAAGCTTCTCAAGATCTTATGCCGCTGATCGAAACTTAAAATTCTCAAAATGACCGGCTGGGTCGTTACAATATATATATATATATATATATATATATATATATATATATATATATATATATATATATTATTCACGTAAATTTATTAAATATTTTTTGATTTATCGATTTTAATCATTCGAATTGATTTAATCCAACTAAAAAATAAACTTATTTGTTTCTTTAGTTTATTTCTTAATGTTAAAAACTTATTTTGACACAAGACTTTGTAATAATGACGTGAAATATATGTACATTTCACGTGCCCAATAATGTTGACAGACAAAATAACAAGTAATACTATATTAAATTTAATTACTTACAAATTAAATTCGGCTGAACTTATAGGTTAATGATTGTATAATATGAATTAAAAAGTAGATTTTTGCCTCTGAAAATTCAAAGGGAAATTATTTTTCAAATATTATGACAGTTTAAAATAGTATTTATATAAGTTATCACAAATTTTCGACAAAAAGATTAGGCAAGACTCAAAATTTAGAATAATTTATTATGCAACATCAGATGTCATCTAAAGAATAATCTTTTTAGGAAAGAAGATTAGAGCTTTAGAAGAATTCGGCTACCAATCAAAGAATTGGATGCTGATAAACCATTTTGTGAATAAGTAATGACATTTGTAAGGTGACTCCCATCAAGTACTACAAGTATTTTTTAAATTAACAAGAATAAAGACGGCAAATATATTCTTTATAGAATTATATTAATGACAACAAATTGAAAAGATTCGGCTCACAAATATTATAAAAGTACGAACATATCTAATATTTGGTGATTTATTACTTCACGTAAGAATAACGAATAATTATAAGAGGTGATGTGGCTCTTATTCTAGCTCAATTGGTCCTCGAACACAATGGTGATAGTAGTTAGGAAATCTCATATAGAATACATGCATAGAAACGGGGTAAGGTGAAAAGTCAAGTTTAATGTTTTCTGAATGTGATTATAAGTTGTAACATTTGTAATATAGCTTTAGCTAACTACATATAGTTTGTTAATGACAATCATGTACTTGCAGGTTCTTTGTCACGGGGAAAAGTTGATTTTTTTGGTTGATAAAGAGAATCTCCGCTCACATATGTGTACGACAATGAGCATTCGCGGCTTTATTTGTAAAAGAATTTTAACCTTGAGCTACAGATAGATGAATCTTCATCCTCAGTAGTTATACGAGTAGAAGCAACAATCATACAAAAATTAATTTTTTTGCCTCTTTTGATTGGTAGCACGTGACAAGAAGGCTCATGACTTACTTAAAAATATTTCATAAAAATTACCCATAGATAAAACTCGGGATACTCAACATATATTCGTAAAATTTCACATGGTAATACTTCTAGCAATATTTTTCTTAAAACGTCCAGAAAAGTGCTAAAAAACTTAGTTTGCAATGACTTTAATGACTAAAGCTTCTTACAATTGAGTTGTTGGTTAATTTGCAAATATCTTCAATATTAGCATACCACCACTTTATTCTATAACAATATCAATTGTGTTTTTTCAAATAATTTTTTCCTCTAACGTATATTTTTAATTGATACGGTATTAACGTGCAATACATATTCATAGAAACTAGTACACTAAAAAAAGGATAAATGATCCAGATTCGGAATTTGCTTGTTATTTCCAAGCAGTATTAATTCTTTATCATAAGAAATCGTTATTTTTATCGTTAAATTGGACATGAGATCCAGCGATGAAGAACAACTTAATAATGACTCACTCTTTTAAAACAAACAACAGCACATAAATTAAAATAGAGCGAGTCGATATGGTACTAGCCCGAACCCATTACCCAAAACGATTGGGAGAAATTCAAAAATAGTTAGATTTACCACTGGTCGTTGAAAAATAGCCAAGTTTCAAAAGTCATCGAAATTTAGCCACTTTAAATTTGAGCGAAAACACGGTTCAAAATCCGAAAAAATACGCCCGCAAATTTTACGGGAGTTGGAGTTCCAGCATAAGTATGCTTGAACTCCCGTAAATTTTACGGGAGTTCCAGGATAACTATGCTGGAACTCCCGCAAATTTTACGGGAGTTCCAGCATAAATTATGCTGGAACTCCCGCAAATTTTACAGAGTTCCAGCAAGTATACTTGTCCAGTATAATATACTGGAGTTTGGAGCACTGGTGTTCCAGTCTCCCGCAAATTTTACAGGAGTTAGCAAAGTATATCGGTCCAGCATAATATGCTGGAGTTCGTACACAAATGCACCAGAACTCCCGTATATTATACTGAATCGGTCCCTATTACAACAAAATAATGGCTATTTTTTATTGACTTGATAAATGCTGACTATTTTTCATTGACTAGTGTGAAAATTGGCTATACCATGATATTTTAACAAAACGATTCACTAGAGGATAAACCTTTAGGCAGGCTGGGGCTGGGCTCAGAAATAAATCCAGTGTCACGCATCTCAATGAAGCGTGTCGTCATCATTCGGTCTTCATCTCAACCACCTTCTCTTTTCTGCACTACTTATAAATCAGCACGCATTAATTCATTCTTTCTCTTGGAAACAAAATTCAATTACATACCTTGATTTCTACTACCTCTCTTTCTCATCATAATTCAAACACACAAATTCTCAAGCCCAAGTCTTAGAATATGCAGAACGGTGCAGAGACCTATCGACGAATCGCCACCATCTCAGCTCACCTTAACCCCTCTCCTTCTTCTCATCAGGTTTCTATTTCTCTTCATTCTCTTCCCTTTCCTATTCTATTTTTGCATTCCTTTAGATATTAATCAATTACTAGTAGTAGTAGTAGTAATGGCGAGGCGGATCCAACAATTTAAATAGCTTATTTTAAGAAAAAAAATAGACTCGTACCAAATGTACCCTTACAAGTTTGTGGTGGTAAACATGTCATGAAAAAGGTTTAAAGTTCATAGTTTTCAAATAAAGAAAGTGTCATTTTTTTATATAAAAATTAAAAGGAAAGAAAGCCATATAAATTAGAATCGCGGGAATGTAAGTTTATATTTTTCCAACACATCTTCTACTAAGGTGATCTCTATGATGCTTTCTTGATTTATTTACTACTAATTCTATGTATGTTTTTGCACTCGGAGTTTTCAATCATTCATACATACTGATTTTGTTGTGTGTTTAAAAACATACGTGCATTTGGGGCTCAAGATGGAGGGAGGTGTGGGTTTGAGCCGAGCTAATTGCAGGGCGAAAGGGGGTTCTCCGGGATTCAAAGTCGCGATTTTGGGTGCCGCAGGAGGTATTGGTCAGCCACTTGCTATGCTTATGAAAACGAATCCACTGGTTTCAGTTCTGCATCTTTATGATGTTGCCAATACTCCTGGTGTAACTGCTGATATTAGCCACATGGACACTGGTGCCGTGGTAATTTCTCTCCCTATTCGCCTTCTTTTTGTAAAAAGGAAATGCTGGATGTTTAAGCATATACTAGTATACATTATCATTATTATTTTATTTTCAATAAATGTGAAAACTTTACTGTGAAGTGAAGAATTAGAGTAGTTAAAGAAATAGAGTTGTCAAAAGAGATGATAGCAGAATTGATGACTGTTTACCCTAAAATGTGGATAGCAATTAAACTTATATTGTGGTTTTAAGGATATGTGACTTCACCCAATACCAATTGATAAGTAGAAAAAAATAAAAGGTAGAATTAAATGTAAATAACCCAAACCTGTATGCAAACAGAGCTTCAGCCTTGAATTAAGGTACCCTCGAGGTGATAACAGTAAGAGAACAGTAAAGATTGAATAAATTGATGAACAAGAATACTGGTTTGAAAAGAAGAGCTATATTGCTTTTGTTTCAGTCAATCATCCTTACAAATGAATAAGATCTCCCTTTATATAATAGAGGAGTCCTAAATAAGGTACACTTCTAATTATAGTAGGAAATCATATTAACATCTAATTCATCGCCGTGGATTGATCCATTCCGAGATTCATGCCACGATCCTCAACCAACCACAAATATCTCGCTTTTTCCGTTACCTAGCTATCCCCGATGTTACTCGAAGTCTATCTTCCCGAACTTCGATTGATACCGACCTTGATCTCGAAAGAGACTTCGATCTCGAACTCAATGCCTTAGCTCTTCAATGCAACGTACTTGTTTCCATCAAATAGTGAAATCGGGTAGCCCCGATTTCTACCGTATAGCGATAGTCCCCTCGTTTTTTGGAGTATAACGACAAGAAACGAATTGAGTCGTTGATCTTTACCTCGATTTGCCACGACATCCTCATCGTGACGTAAGCGACTGAGGAAACAAAAGCTTGGAAGCTGGCCTTTCCCAAGGAGGACTCCGAGAACTCTGGCGAGTCCGGCAGTGGAGAAGATTCTGAGGGTGAAGACACTTCTACCGATAAGGATCGTGCTGCTTAGGCTTCGTGCTCTTTGTAATTTTTTGCTTTTGAGGCTGATTGTCCTTGCGAGGAACTCTTGATCGTGACATATAGCCCTTGTAAAAAGGTTTTGACGAATATACAAAGCTTTTTCCCTTCCATGGCTTCTAAATCTGTTATCCTTTTGTGCGGGTCAAAGCGCCTTAGCATAAAATTCCTTTTGAATGTCCAAAGTTTGAGATGGTAATGACCGACAATAAGTTCTGTCCTCGAACGTTTCTGATCAATGGACCCCGAATGACCATTTGAACTTGAGTTTGAGTAGCTCTTAGGCTCAAATTCGATAGGTAAGGTAGCCCTTGGGCTTGATGATTGAGTGAGTGCATGCTCGAACTTGAAATGAAAATAGCCTTTAGGCCTTATGGCCAAGTGAGGACATGCTCGAACTTGAGATGAGGTAGCCCTTGGGCTCGAAAGATAGTCTCCGAGTGAGAATTTTCTCGAACTCGAGTAGCCCTTGGGCTTAGTAGTCGAGTGAGTACTTGCTCGAACTTGAAATGAAAATAGCCCTTAGGCTTTATAGTCGAGTCAGGATTTGCTCGACCTCGAAGTAAAGTTAGCCCTTAGGCTTTATAGATAGTCCCCGAGTGAGAATTTTCTCGAACTCGGGTAGCCCTAGGGCTTAGTAGTCGAGTGAGTACTTGCTCGAACTCGAAATGGAAATAGCCCTTAGGCTTTATAGTCGAGTGAGGACTCGAACTCGAAGTAAAGTTAGCCCTTAGGCTTTATAGATAGTCCTCGAGTGAGGGTTTGCTCGAACTCGAGTTAAAATAGCCCTTGGGCTTTTATGATCGAGTGAGGACTTGCTCGAACTCGAAGTGAAGTTAGCCCTTAGGCTTTATAGTCGAGTGAGGATTTCCTCGAACTCGAAGTAAAGTTAGCCCTTTGGCTTTATAGATAGTCCCCGAGTGAGAGTTTGCTCGAACTCGGGTTAAGATAACCCTTTGGCTTTTGTATTTGTTACGGATTTCGGACGTCTCCGATCCGCGTTAATTTGGCCGTAGCCTCTTTATTTCGGAACTCGCCCTTTGGGCTTATTTTCCGTTTCACTTCGAGCTTGCCCGAAGTGTCAGTCACCGAGTGGGGTGGCCGTGGCCTGTAAAATCGAGGGTCGCCTTTAAGGTCTTATGGTCTCGAAATTTTAGTAGTTTGATTTCGTTTGTTTTTCGGACAAACGCGGGGTTAGTTGTTCGAACTTCCGTCATGGTCGGCCCTTAAGTCTGTTTACACAATAGATCAAGAGTATAAAATAGGAAATTTTTCTAAAGGCATGAGATATCGGCAAGGAAAAATACTTCTCTCAATAGATGATTAAACATGCACGCATGTTTGATATTAGGGCTCGAGTAACCTATACGGGCACGGTTCATCTGACCGCTTGACCCTTACGACATTTTCCTATCGAGACCCGCTGTCATGAAGTGATTTCCTTGCAACAAAGTAGACATTCAAGGGTAATGCCCTCCAGTGCTCGAGGCTTATTGTAGGGAACCTCGGATACTGTTGAATTGCTCTAAGTTAGCACGAACAATGGTTGCCTCGTTAAAAACCTCGCCGGAAAAACCCATTTGGGACAAAAACCGGTCTAAGGGAAAAAGTGCAACGCGTGCTTTAAGATCCAAAGCTTCGTAGGGATCCTTGTCGAAAGCCTGCAAGTGGTTGTCCAAAAGAAAGGATTAGACCGGGGTCGTACCTTTATTCGGATTTTAGATATTTAACGTGATCTTCCTCGGCATCAAGCCCCCGTGAATTTTGACCTCAATCATTTCTCCTCTTATTTCGTGCGAAGCTTTGCCCAAACCCGCTGCCTCTACGGTCTCTGTTATACGGTTGATATCGATCTCTATTTGACCTCTGCTCTCGATCGATGTCCCTTTTGATCCTATCCATGGGCCTGCTAGGATAAACGGACCCCGAAGGAGTCCCCAGTTGATCATCCTCGACCCTAATCTTCGACTTATGCCGATTATGTACGTCGGCCCAAGTGACAGCCGGGTACTCGAGTAAACTTTGCTTCAACTGCTGTGAAGCTATGGAACTCTGAGTGCTGAGATCTTGAGTGAAAGCTTGAACAACCCAGTCATCGGTGACCGGAGGCAAATCCATTCTCTTCTCTTGGAACCGAGATACGAATTCCATGAGCATCTCGTTATCTTTCTGCCTTACCTTGAAAAGGTCTGACTTCCTCATTGCAATTTTAATGGCTCCGGCGTGTGCCTTTAAAAAAGAATCTGCAAGCATAGCAAACGAATCAATAGAATTAGGGGGTAAGTTATGATACCATATTAAGGCACCCTTCGATAGAGTCTCCCCGAACTTCTTTAGCAGTACAGATTCAATTTCGTTATCTTCTAAGTCGTTTCCTTTGATGGTGCACATATACGAGGTGGCGTGTTCATTCGGATCGGTCGTCCCGTTATACTTGGGAATCTCGAGCATACGGAACTTCATGGGGATTGGCTTCGGAGCCGCACTAGGGGGAAAGGTCTTTGCACGAAATTTTTAGAATCTAGTCCTTCCAATATCGGTGGTGCCCCTAGTATTTGGTCAACTCGGGAGTTGTATGTTTCTACTTTTTTATCATTTGCCTCGATTTTCTTTTCTCCTGATTCAATCCGTGTAGTGAGCTCCTCTAGCATTTTCATTATAGCAGGGCCAGTCCTCGAATCATTGGCGCTCGATCTCTCCGGTATAGGTTCGGCCCTGCGAATAGTTTCTAGTTCAGGCTCTGGTTCGATCCCACTTTGTGCTCGATGCTGATTCTGTAGTTGCGCTATTGCGGCTTGCTGAGCCTGTAGCATTTCAAATATCAATTGGAGGCTAACTCCACCGTCTTCTCCGCCCTGTGTACCTCGACCACCTGATCGAACTTTCCTGCGTACGCTACCTTCAGGATCAACGCCCAGATTTGCATTTAGGGCAACATGCGAACTGACATCGATGGGGTCTGCGACTGGTACTCCCTCGTGGCCCGCCTGAGGCACTTCGATCGCTGAGGCGGCTACATTATCGTTTTCTCCATGAAGACCAATGCCGGTGTCTGTGTGAGTGGGCACTTCTTGAGAGTTTGACATGTTGATTCCTGAAAGCTAAGACACTTACGAGAACAAACGTAAAAGCAATGTGTGTTGTGAGGATTAATACTAGGCAATCACTATTATCCTTAGCCCCACGGTGGGCGCCAAACTGTTTACCCTAAAGTTTGGATAACAATTAAACTTATATTGTAGTTTTAAGGATATGTGATTTTATCCAATACCAATTGATAAGCAGAAAAAAATAAAAAGGTGGAATTGAACTGTAAATAACCCAAACCAGTATGCAAACAGAGCTTCAGCCTTCAATTAAGGTACCCTCGAGGTGATAACAGTATGAGAACAGTAAAGATTGAATAAATTGATGAACAAGAATACGGGTCAGAAAAGAAGAGCTATATTGCTTTTGTTTCAGTCAATCATCCTTACAAATGAATAGGATCTCCATTATATAATAGAGGAGTCCTAAATAAGGTATGCTTCTAATTATAGTAGGAATCCATATTAACATCTAATTAACCGCCGTGGATTGACCAATTCCGAGATTCACGCCACGATCCTCGACCAACCATGGATATCTCGCTCTTTCCGTTACTTAGCTATCCCCGATGTTACTCGAAGTCTATCTTCCCTAACTTCGATTGATACCTACCTTGATCTCGAAATAGACTTCGATCTCGAACTCAATGCCTTAGCTCTTCAATGCAGTGTTCTTGTTTCGATCAAATAGTGAAATCGGGGACCGTATACAATGACAAAGATTATATAACTATTGTAATTGCATTAATACTTGTTGCGTGCATAGAGAAATCCTAGTATCTATTAGATACAACTGAAGCAGTTTGAATATAATGACAGTTGAAGGAAATGGAATGATTCAAAGGAATTGGAGAAACAAAATGAATGGAGTGAGATTAGACAGGATTGTGGTGCTGAAATTTTGATAATTCAAATGTTTAGGCTCAATCTTCCAAAAGAATGACATGGTAGATGAAGATATAGCACATAGAATTAAAATATAATGACTGAAATGGGGATTGATGTTTTAGTGTTATGCGATAGGAAGATACATATAGACATAAAGTAAAATGTAAGTCTTACAGCGCAGTTAAGAGATTAGCAATGTTATCGCAAGTGAATGTGGGGCTTACTAAGGCCCAACATATCCACAAGATGAATTCGTAGAAATGCGGTTGTTAATATGGATGTATGCTTGATTATACAAGGTTGGACATCATATCTCAGCAAAGGGTGCAATTTAGCATGAAGTATAATGGTCGAAGGAGAGCGGTCTCCTTTATAAATAAAACATGAGAGGTGGTCTCCTTTATAAAAACAAAAAGAGAGGTGGTCTCTTAAAGATGTTTAGCATGTTATACGTAGATCTCCAGATGCACCGGTTCATAGGTGCAATAATATGATGGAAGACGGTAAAGGACAGGAGGTAGACCTAAAATCATGTAGAGGGAACTGGTCCAAAAAAAGACAGACAATCTTTCAAAAGTGACTAGTAGACTCTATTAAGAAATAAAACACATGAAAGTAAAAGGATTCATATAGGCGATACGAACTAGTTGGAATGAAGGTTAACGGTAAGGTTTACACTCATAGTAGATCCTTTGTTTGTGAGCAATCTTTTTGCTATGGTTAAAGACTTATATTTGTGTAGGAAAACAGGGAGATTTGAACTTTTAGTTTTAGAGATCTACTTTGCATTAAAGGGCAAACTATTTAGTATTGGAATGCAATGTGCCTAAATTTAGCAGGATGAATAGGAAGTTTATATAGCCAATCTCCACTGATTTGGGACAGAGGCTTCTTTATAAAACTTGTGGGATAAAGGTGTGGTTGATTGACTGGTTCTTAAGCCTTACCAGCTTATTGCATTAAGCAGAACCGTCCTTTCAAAGTGTTCTGGGGTAGATTAATCTGAAATTTACTAAACAGTTTTTGGCTTCTAGGTAGGACCCAATAAAGTGATTTCTGAATCAACCAAAATATATGGTGAAAAATCGAATAATCTGCTGAGATGTTAGAAGAAAGAGGAAACTAACATAGTAAACAGGAAATTGATTGGATGACAAAACATCTGAACGGTTAAATTGATGCTAATATGCCAACAAAAGGGGCGTTAGCTCGTGATGTTTTTGTTCCCAATGGCTGTCTTCGGGTATGTAGACCCAAACTCAAGCCAAGGCGAACCCCAACGTCGCCCTTTACAACACTGCTCTGCATTGCAAGTCTCGATGCTTGCTTATGTCTGAGATATAGCCCATACTGTAGAGTTAACGAGAGATATTATTATGTCTTTAAACAATTAACTTGAGTTTGTTGATTTCCAGGTACGTGGTTTTCTAGGGCCTCAACAATTGGAAGATGCTCTCACTGGCATGGACCTTGTAATAATCCCTGCTGGTGTTCCTAGAAAACCAGGCATGACAAGAGATGATCTTTTCAACATCAATGCAGGAATTGTGAGGACTTTATGTGAAGGAATTGCCAAGTGCTGTCCTAAGGCCATTGTTAACATAATTAGTAATCCTGTTAACTCTACAGTACCGATTGCTGCAGAGGTTTTCAAGAAGGCTGGCACCTTTGATCCCAGGAGACTGTTGGGTGTGACAATGCTTGATATTGTCAGAGCCAATACATTTGTGGTATGCATAGCTTTCTAAACTGTTTCTTTTGTGATTTTTTCGTCCTCCTACATCCCTTTCAACAGAGCATCTACTCAATGCTTAAAAAGCTAGAAGCAAATACACAACCGAACCAATCATTAGCAAATTATCTGTGTTTTTCTTGACTGTCTATTTGAGCAAAATTTGTTAGAACCATGTTATCAGCCCATCCAGAAAATGGTTTTTGATCTGTCCCAAAATGAAGTCCAAATTCCTGAACGAGAAATCCATCTGCTATTCATTTTCTCTTGAATATCTTACTTGCTCAAATGTTAATGGGCGCCGTTCTTTACTCTTGTATCAATCTTATCGAAAATTCAATTTTTTATAAATTTTAAACCAATGATTCTCAAAAATACATTGTTATTTCACCGCTACTCGTAATATCTGTGTTAGGCCAAACCTATAAAATTTTGATGAACTACTATTGTTACTGTCTGGAGTACAACTTATTTGAACTAAGTTCATTTTAAAAATCTAGTAGCACATTGTACTGTTTCTTTTTATGCTTCACGGACCTGTTGCATTTTGACCTTTTGTACAAGAATAAACAGATTACAAGGACTCGGAGGTAATGTAATATATTCCGGCTCTGAGACTCATCTATCAGGCATCTGATGCGAGAGTATATATATACCTGAACCTTGCTGAAATCTGAACATTATATTGGTCTCAAGAATATTCACAAAAATGACATCGATGGTTGTGTGCAACTGTGCATGCCAACTGAACACTCTTTCAGTTGTGGCTTGGTATCTAATGCTGATTATCTGCCTGATCTAATCTGTTTCATGTCATGAAGGCTGAAGTTTTGGGGCTTGATCCTAGGGAAGTTGATGTTCCAGTTGTGGGGGGTCATGCTGGTGTTACAATTCTACCTCTTCTTTCCCAGGTTTGGCAAACTTTGTTCAAACTGATTTGACCTGGTTCAGGGGATCTTAGTAGAATTTCTTTTTGACTTGTCTAATGTGATTCAGGTTAAGCCTCCTTGTTCTTTTACGCCAGAGGAAACTGAATATTTAACATCTCGTATACAAAATGGTGGAACTGAAGTTGTTGAGGTAAGATGAACTTGAAGACTGGTTAAATTGATCTTTTTGCTTATTAAAGTGAAATTTTATTGTGCTTGGTTGGCACCGCTGCGTTTTAGTTGTCATAAACCTTAGGGCATTATGTTTTTGTTATTTATATTGACTTACCATAGACTAGCTACTGGCAGAGGCTTGTTTGACTTCAGATCTTATTGGAAACTTGTGCTGATCTTCTGGCAGGTAGAGGGTACTATTTCCCGAAATATTCCATATTAATTGTTGGCCTATTGTCTCTGAAACCATATTTTTTATCCAGGTTGTCTTCCCTGGCAAAATCAGTTATTGATAAATTTCACTCTCTAAGAATGTTCAGGCATATGTTTCCTGACATTGCATTTTTAGATGTCACAATCACAACCTATATGAGTTTCAACCCTTACTCTGAAACGATCTCATTACTCTCCCTTCTTCCTCCCGCGGTAGTATATTGATACAGAGCAGTCCTTATCTTTCACGTCTAATATGCAGTTAGTCCTGGCCAGCATCGTGCATCAACTCCATTACCATAAGCGGCAGTCTCTCTCCTAAATTGCTTTTTCTGTCTTTCTTCATCTTCCTACCTTTTCCTTGCTACTCTCCTCTTGTAAACAATGTAAACAAGGAAAATTTCTGGATGGTACCAGTCATGGTTTATTTGGCAGTCATAGCACCACAAAATTACTGTCTAAGCTAAACTCCACTGGTGGAATTCATTTGTTGCTGAATGGACACGGTGCTCTTTTTTGCAGGCAAAAGCTGGTGCTGGTTCGGCAACTCTCTCTATGGTTAGAGCAACTTTGCACTCTTTATTTCATTTTCCCTTGTATTACAGTTGACAGTTCATATCATCCACAGCGATGCCAAATCATAAGTTTGTCCTAACATTACAGGCATATGCTGCGGTTAAATTTGCTGACGCATGTTTGCATGGATTGAGAGGAGATGCTGGCATTGTAGAATGTGCTTTTGTGTCTTCTCAGGCATGTAATCTATAACTTCTCCTGAATTTTCACTACAGACCTTGGGTTTTTATGACAGTTGGTAATGGTTAATCATCTCTGTAGGTGACTGAGCTTCCATTTTTCGCATCAAGAGTACGGCTTGGTCGTAACGGAGTTGAAGAAATATACCCCCTTGGTCCCCTAAATGAATACGAGAGGTTAGTATTCTGATCAATTGCCTCTTGAAATTACTGTCACGTTCATTATGATGTTATTCATTGAAAAAACTGGTCAGATTTTTCTCAATGTACTGAATTTTGCAGGACTGGGCTTGAGAAGGCAAAGAAAGAGCTGGCGACAAGTATTCAGAAGGGTGTTAACTTTGTAAAGAAATGAGCAGACAGCTAAATGACTTCCAAAAGATGCTTTTATGTGGCCATATATCTCAAATCCGCAGTTCCAGAAAATAAGAGTAGTCTCTTTGTTGTATTGAAGGGCAAATCCTGTTCTACTTTTCTATAGATTGATGCCTTGGTGCAGAAAATAAATGTAGTATCTGGTCATCTAAAATAATAACAGTCCCCATTGCATGTTAAGACTTGCAAAGTATTACATCCATTTGAAGCAAGGTCTTGTTGGGGACTTTTTGATATAGATATTAAAAGGCGAAAAATTCAAAAATGGCCAGTTTTTCGCCTGGTCAATCAAATGTAGCCACATAATCACCGGTCAACGATATTTAGCCACTAATTTAGTGCGGTAATATTTTGTTGACTAAAATACCTCTGCTTTTTTTATTAATTTACGCGACTTCACCTTAAATTCTTCTTTTAGCAAAACTTAACAAAATTTTCCGGCATTAATTTTCAAATCGAGTTATTAGGAAAATTTTCGCCGTCAATCTGTAAATCGAAATATTAGCAAAATCTTTCGGCGTTAATCGAGGTATTCGCAAAATCTTCCGGCGTTAATTTGCAAATCGAAGTGTTAGCAAAATCGTTATGCGTCAATCTGCAAATCGAAGTTTTAGCAAAATTTCCGTCGTCAATCTGCAAATCGAAGTAAGTTCTATCTAAAATTTGTCTGATTATTTAAATTTCTTCTATGATCAAGAATTCAAACCATAAAATTCAAAGTATCAGTAAAAAAATTTAATTTTTCGAATTTTTGATTTGTTTTTAATGCGTTAATCTGTGTTATTGTCTAATTTTCTCAATGTAGAACATAGCGCCAGTATAATTTGTTGGACATTTCTAAATTAATATCTAAAGCGAAGATTTTTCCAGCTTATTATACTGGAAATCTCATAAAAAAAAGCATTATAATTGAGTTTTGTTTGAATCCAGTATATTTTACGGGACATCACGTGTGTGTAAGCTTTTCCTCCAATATGTTATACTGGATAAGTTCTAACACTAGAATATAATTGAGTTTTGTTTGAATCCAGAATATTTTACGGGACGTCACCTGTATGTAAGCTTATTCTCCAGTATGTTAAACTGAATAAGTTCTAAGACAAGAATATAATTGAGTTTTGTTTTAATCCAGTATATTTTACGGGACATCTCATGTGTGTAAGCTTATTCTCCAGTATGTTATACTGGGTAATTTCTAAGACTAGAATATAATTGAGTTTTGATAGAATCCAGTATATTTTACGAGACATCACCTGTGTATAAGCTATTCTCTTTTCTGGATAGTTATAGACTAGATATAATAGGTTATTGGTATTGATCCAGAATTTTACCGGAGAGAAGATCACACTGGTGTAATTATTTTTTATGTTATAATGGATAAGTTCTAAGACAGAATATAAATTGAGTTTTGTTTGAATCCAGTATATTTACGGGACATATCCTGTTGTTAGCTTATTCTCCAGTATGTTATATACGGGTAAGTTCTGCATAAATACGAAATTATAATTGAGTTTTATATCAATCTCAGTATATTTTATAGGAAAATCACCTGTGTTTAAAAATTTTCTCCAGTATGTTATACTGGACGAGTTCTATTTAAAGTAAGAATATAGTTGAGTTCTATTTAGACTAGAATATAATTTACTGGACGTTTCCAGCTTATTAATATTGGAAAATCTCATAAAAAAGCATTGTAATTCACTTGAAGTATGTTTCGTTAATGTAGATATTATGTTATAATATAGTTGAGTTTTAATTTCAATCCAGAATAATTTAAAGTACGTCACCTGTGTGGTAAAATGTTTCCTTCCAGGTTTAATGTTTATACTGGCGAATTCTGTTTTCAGACTAGATTATAATTGAGTTTTATTTTATCCTGTATATTTTACGGGACATCCTGTGTCTAAAGCTTTTTTCTTCCAGTATGTTTATACTGGATAAGTTCTAAGACTAGAAATATATTGAGTTTTTGTTTTAATTCCAGTATATTTTTAGCCCGGGACATCACCTGTATGTAAGTTATTCTCAGTATATATATACTGGATGAATATTATATTTTTTAACAGTATATTTCTAGATATCTAAATATTTGGGTAATATATATAAATATCAGGATGCATACAATTTCTTGATATTGCGTTCGATGGCAAATGGACAACAGATTACAAGTACTTTGGATCATAAAACGAAGTTTCTCCTGTAAATGATGGGACTTCATTTGAAGAATTCCCTTAGAAAATTTTTTAAAGTTATAGAGCTTGACAACCAAAAAGTTTCAAAGGCAAATGTATGGCTTTAATATAACCTAGGTACTTCTAAGGGATAGAAGTGACAAAAGATGAAAGATGCTTATTATGTGTAATGATTCTTTTAAAAAAAGTGATCCTATCTATAAAATTCGAATTTGTTTGTTGAAATATCAGAACCGATCAACAACTAGAAAGGTAATGCAAATAATGGAAATTGATAATCAACAATTATTGGCAACAGAAACACATATGGTCGCGGAAGAGCAGTGTTGGCTTATCTCAAGTTGAAGAAGAGGCGGTTAATTCCAATTTATGAATATTACAATGGAAAAAGATGTAAATTCCTGTGGAAGATCAGCACATGAATCCTAACAAAGATGAAAGGAAGAAAAAGGAAAGGAAAAGGAAAGGCAAAAGAATCTCCATCAATAATATTAAAGGAAAATGCATCACTGGATGATGTAAAACTTGGTTCTGTTTTTCAAGATAAAAATGCCATGATTAGATGTTTTTGCTTAGCAGCTATAAAGGAGCATTTTGAGTTCTATGTTAACAGGTCAAGTAACACGAGATACTCTTTGGTATGTACTGATGAAAAGTGTAGTTGGACTGTTCGAGGTTCAAGAATTAAGGAATCAACACTTTTTAAAATAGTTAAATTTCAGAGAACACATGAGTGCTCAGTTGATATTCGAAAATCAGATCAAAGGCAAGCAACTTCAAATGTGATTAGAGATTACGTGATTGACAACTTAAGAGACATAGCTACTGAGGTAAAACCTAAGTTTGTCATTTCAGAGATGAAAAGAGCACATGGAATTGATGTTGGTTATGGAAAAGCATGGCATGCTATTCAAAAGGGGTTATCTTTGTTAAGAGGAACAACTGAACAGAATTATGAGCAGCTGCCATCATATTTGTATATGATGGAACAAAAAAATCCAGGATCATATACAAATATTGTGAGAGATGAAGAAAACAGGTAAATTTCTTATTTATGATAAGCTTTCTTTCCTGTAAATTATACTGGGTGAGTTCTGTTCAATCTATTGTATTTTATTTTGTCCAGTATATTATACAGGATGTTAGTGGTTGTCGTCCAGTATATTTTACAGGATGTGTGTATTGTATAAGCTTTCTTTCCTGTAAATTATACTGGATGAGTTCTTTTTATTTATTACTTTTTTTGAGTGATTTTTTATGTCCATTATTAAATACGGGACATAGTGGTTTAACAGTATATAACTCCAGTTTAATATACAGGAAATAAAATATTAAGTTATGTATTTCAATTTTATTTTATTTTGTCCAGTATATTAAACAGGAAGTTAGTGTTTGTCTTCCGGTATATTTTACAGGACGTGTGTATTGTAAAAGCTTTCTTTCCTGTAAATTATACTGGGTGACTTCTCTTCAATCTATTGTATTTGATTTTGTACAGTATATTATACAGGATGTTAGTGGTTGTCATCCAGTATATTTTACATGATATCTGTATTTTATAAGCTTTCTGTCCTGCATAATATACTGGGTAAGTTCTGTTCAACCTAAAATTTTATATTTTTAGTTTATTTTATCTAGTATATTATAGTGGATGTTAATGGAACTCCAGTATGTTATACTGGAAGAATATTATAAAATAGTTAATTTTTGTTTGATGCCCGCAAATTTTACAAGACGTGTGGCTTGTATGAGCTTTATCTCCAGTATATTATACTGTGTAAGTTAACTGAATTTTATTTACTTTTTTTTTTACAGGTTTGTTTACATGTTTTTTATGTATGGGGCATCAATTTCTGGGTGGAAGTATTGTAGACCACTGATTGCTGTTGATCGAACATTTCTAAAAAATAAATATAGAGGTGTTCTATTAGTGGCTGTTACCAAACATGCAAATAACCAGATTTTCCCTATAGCTTTTGGAGTAGTGGGTAAAGAGAATAATGAATCATATGAATGGTATTTCAGGGAATTAAGAAAAGCAATTGGGATTCGTAATGATTTAATGTTCTTGTCAGATCGACACAAGGCTATTGCAAATGGAATTGCAAAGGTTTTCCCTGAGTGCTACCATGGAATTTGCATCTATCATTTAGAAAAGAATCTGAAGCAAAGAAGAGTGAGAAACACTGTGATAAATCTCTTTCAAAGTGCTGCAAGAGTATACCTTCAATCAGAATTTGATGACTTCATGTCCCAAATAGCTGCTGTTGATAAGAAAACTTTCAATTATTTGATGGAGGAACCGCCAGGAAGGTGGGCTCGTTCACATTGTCCCAGAAGAAGATATGATATGTTAACAACAAATATTGTTGAGTCAATGAATAATGTTTTAAGACGTTCAAGAGAATTGCCAATTTTAACAATGATGGATTTCATACAAGAAAAATTGCAAAGCTGGTTCTATGAAAGAAGGACACTTGCAGAAGGAATATTCCGTGATATATCAAATTGGGCAGAAGCAACATTGGAAGCAAAAATTCAACCAGCTTTTACATTTAGAGTATTGCCCATTGATAGACTCAAATTCAATGTCAAAGAAGGTGGTATGGAATTTATTGTTGATCTAGACAAAAGAACATGTGATTGTTCTGAATTTCAGCTAGATGAGATGCCATGTGAACATGCAATTGCTGCAATTGAGAGTATACATCAAAAGAAATCGGCCTTTTGCTCAGCCTATTTTTCAAGGGACTTTTGGTTGAAAACGTATGAAGGGCAAGTAAATTTTGTAGGTGATGCAACAACATGGGTTATACCAGACACTATTAAATCAGAAATCACTAAGCCTCCAGATGCCAAAGTACTGCTAGGAAGAAGACAGAAGAATCGACATGTTTCCGGTACAGAATTCAAGAAGGAACCAAGATGTAGTCGTTGCAAAAAATATGGGCATACCAGAACAAATTGCACAAATTCTTCTGTAGTTCATCCTTATGCAAGAAAATATAGGAAAAAAAATGATTGAATATATACAATAAAGTTGCATTGGCTGATGTAATCCCGAATAATATATATTCAATATTCTTGTTTTTCAAAATATTTTGTATTTTTTTTTGCTTCTTGATTTGCTTACAAAAAAACCACTATGTCGTAAAAACATAGTGGTTTTACGACATATAACTCCAGTGTATTATAAAGGAAACAAAATATTAAATTATGCAATTCCACTTACTTTCATTTTGTCCAGTATATTATACTTGATGTTAGTGGTTATCCTCTAGTAAATTTTGTTTGATTCCAGTAAATTTCACGGAACATGTGCCTTGTATAAGCTTTATCTCCAGTATATTATACTAGGTGAGTCTTTATTATTAGTCATTTTTTTTAGTGATTTTTCATATCCAGTATTAAATACGGGGTTTACTGCTTTAACAATATATTACTCCAGTGTAACATACAGGAAACAAAAATTGGATGAATATAGGATAAAAAAATTTGCATTATTCTATTCCAGTAGTAATTACAGGATATAGTGGTTTTACAATATAACACTCCACCAAATTATACAGGAAACTAAAAATTAAATTATTTAATTCCAGCAAATTGTTCTAATTACCAAATTTCAACTATTTTCCACTTCTCCATTATAATATACTAGATTATATTCCTTCATGAGTAGCGATTCCAGCATGTACTATAGCAGGTAATAAAAATTGGATGAGTATAGGATAAAAAAATCTGCATTATTTCATTCCAGTAGTAATTACAGGATATAGTGGTTTTACAATATAAAACTCCAGTATAATATACAGGAAACGAAATATTAAATTATTTAATTTCAGTAAATTATTCTAATTACAAAATTTCCAGTATTTTCCACTTCTCCATTATAATATACTGGATTATATTCCTTCATGAGTAGCGATTCCAGCATATAATATACGAGGTAATAAAAATTGGATGAATATAGGATAAAAAATGAGCAATATTCATTTCCAGTAACAATTACAGGATATAGTGGTTGTACAATATAAAACTCCAGTAAATTATACAGGACACTAAATATTAAATTATTTAATTCCAGCAAATTGTTCTAATTACCAAATTTAAACTATTTTCCACTTCTCCATTATAATATACTAGATTATATTCCTACATGAGTAGCAATTCCAGCATGTACTATAGCAGGTAATAAAAATTGGATGAGTATAGGATAAAAAAATCTGCATTATTTCATTCCAGTAGTAATTACAGGATATAGTGGCTTTACAATATAAAACTCCAGTATAATATACAGGAAACGAAATATTAAATTATTTAATTTCAGTAAATTGTTCTAATTAAAAAATTTCCAGTATTTTTCACTTCTCCATTATAATATACTGGATTATATTCCTTCATGAGTAGCGATTCCAGCATATAATATACGAGGAAATAAAAATTAGATGAATATAGGATAAAAAAAATGAGCAATATTCATTTCCAGTAACAATTACAGGATATAGTGTTTGTACAATATAAAACTCCAGTAAATTATACAGGACACTAAATATTAAATTATTTAATTCCAGCAAATTGTTCTGGATACCAAGTTTCCACTATTTTCCACTTCTTCATTATTATATTCTGTATTATATTCCTTCATGAGTAGCGATTCCAGCATGTACTATAGGAGGTAATAGAAATTGGATGAATATAGGATAAAAAAATCTGCATTATTTCATTCCAGTAGTAATTATAGGATATAGTGGTTTTACAATATAAAACTCCAGAATAATATACAGAAAATGAAATACTAAATTATATAATTTTAGTAAAATGTTCTAATTACAAAATTTCCAGTATTTTCCACTTCTCCAGTATAATATACTGGATTATATTCCTTCATGAGTAGTGATTCCAGCATATAATATACGAGGTAATAAAAATTGGATGAATATAGGATAAAAAAATGAGCAATATTAATTTCCAGTAACAATTACAGGATATAGTGGTTGTACAATATAAAACTCCAGTAGATTATACAGGACACTAAGTATTAAATTATTTAATTCCAGCAAATTGTTCTGTATACCAAGTTTCCACTATTTTCCACTTCTTCATTATTATATTCTGTATTATATTCCTTCATGAGTAGAGATTCCAGCATGTACTATAGGAGGTAATAAAAATTGGATGAATATAGGATAAAAAAATCTGCATTATTCCATTCCAGTAGTAATTACAGGATATAGTGGTTTTACAATATAACACTCCAGCAAATTATACAGGAAACTAAAAATTAAATTATTTAATTCAACCAAATTGTTCTAATTACCAAATTTCCACTATTTTCCACTTCTCCATTATAATATACTGGATTATATTCCTTCATTAGTAGCGATTCCAGCATATACTATAGCAGGTAATAAAAATTGGATGAATATAGGATAAAAAAATCAGCAATATTCATTTCCAGTAATAATTACAGGATATAGTGGTTTTACAATATAAATTTTCAGTAAATTATACAGGACACTAAATATTAAATACAGAATACAGATGCTAGTTTTCCAGTATAATATACTGGACAACAAGCTTAAACACGGTAGAATTCCTGTAAAATATACAGGAACCAAACAAAACTCAACCATAATATAATATACAGGACACTAAATATTAAAGTCATTAATTCCAGTAAATTGTTATAATTACATAATTTCCACTATTTTCCACTTCTCCATTATAATATACTGGATTATATTCGTTCCAGTATATTGTTCACATTATACTAACATCGAAATTTGGAGTATTGACATCCAGTATTAAATACAGGACATAGTGGTTTTACACTAAAAATCTCCAGTGTAATTACAGTTAATTACTAGACACAAAATATTAAATTATGTAATTACGGTTAATTATTCTAGATACCAAATTTCCACTATTTTGCACTTCTTCATTATAATATAATGGTTTGTATCCCTTCATAAAAAAAATTCAAAAATATTATAGTCTTTAATTCTATCATAATATATAGCATAATAATATGCATTTCAACCAAAAGTATGTAGTCAATTACTGAAAAGAACAAAAAATTATTTCTTGTTCTTAATCTTTCGCCTTTGTGAAACAGAAGGTTTATCTAGTCTTCCTGTAGACTCATCTTCACTGACAAGAGATTCCAACTGCTTCTTTTTACCATAAATGTATAGTAATGCTGCATATCTTAATCGAAGACGTGTAGGATCAAACATGTTCTTGTCATCTGGTAACTCCTTGCCTTCAATGAAATACTCCGCAAATGCAGAACA